ATAAACCACTGCAGAATTAATTCAGGTCACTCGGCGTTAGTGAGACCCAAAGCTGCCCCGGCCTCCCCCGCCGAGGGGGCCGGGGAGCGGCGAAGGTGAATCTCATTTAATAAAATCAAAGAAAATCCCAAGAACGGGTTTTACACACCCTGAAAGACAAAGTTCTCTTCCACCAGGATCCGATGGCAGCGATTTGAATTCCAACCACACCAGTAAGTGCACTTAGTTTGACCTTGGGGTCACATTGCAGCCTCCCTGTCCCCAGCCCAGTGGAAAAATCCCTCCCCGGGGCAGGTTTGGTGCTTTTCCTCCAGGTTTTCTGCATTTTCCCTCTCTCTCCCCCCCACCCCAAACCCAATAAAGCAGCGAGCGGGTCCGGGTGCTTCCCACCCCCACCCAAAGCCAGCATCCATTGGGATGGATTTAACCAAATTGCAGAGAAATTCTCCCAAAACTCGAGGAACCAGCAGTGAAGTGTCACCTCCTGCCTTCCCCACTGTGCCGTGGGGCATCCCTGCTCCCGGAGCTCCTGGCACAGCTGGAGGGTATTCCCAACCCCAAAATAAACCTGCTGCTCTGATTTTGGGAAAAATGAACGTGGGAAACTGGAACTTAAAGCCAAGTGCCCACGCAACAGTCGAAGGTTTGGTTTGGTTTTAAACCACCTCGGCTCAAAATCCGGGGTGAACCAAGCGGGGGCAGAGCCTGTGGCACATCCCTGCCCCGGGGGTAAAGTCCCACTGGAATTCCTGCAGTTTGAGGGAAAAACTGCACTCTCTGGCCTTTGTTCCGAGGCCAGAGGAGCCAAAGGGAGCAGGAGCAACCCCTGGGAGCACCGACTGCATCCTGCAGCTTCAGCCACGCTCGGGGATTTCATAAAACCAGGGGAAACGACTTAAAACTGGAGTCAAACCATCCCTGGGGCGTTTGAAATTCGGATTTGAAAATTCGGGGGCAAGGGAGCGTTGTTGGGTGGATTCAAAGTGTTGGGATGCCACTCAGAGAGGCCTTAATTCGGGGGGGGTTTTAGGTCTAAGTCAACATTTGTAGGGCCAAGAGTAAGGCGTCGGGTGAGCCCCGAGCTCAGCACCCTTCCAGCTCCTCCACCCCATCCCCTATCCCTTCTCCCAGGAAGGGCCACAGGCAGGAGCAGCTCGGGAGCGGGGGGGGTTGCATAGTTTGGTGCCTTCTGGAAAACAAACCCCAAAATAAAAACAAGGGAATGTTGTAAAGCTCGGGCTGATGGACAGAACTCCTGTTTTATTTCCATGTGATGGGAAACGCTGCACCTCGCTCTGTGCAGGACTGGGGCCGGTTTGGGAGCTGCAGTTACCAAAAAACCCAAGGATTTCTGTGCAAACTTCGCAGTGCTAAAGT